CAAAGTAAACATCATTGTGCTTGCAAGCACCTACAAGGCCATACACATACAATCTCTCTTCCCTATTTATATCCCCATCTCCTACTACTCACTGACAGCCTCCTTGGGGTGTTCTTTGAACATGCTTAGCATGTGCCCAACTCTCGCTCTTTGCATTTGCTCTTCCGTTGCCTGGAATATGCTTCCCCCTTCTATACGCATCACTCTCTTCCTGACCTCTTTATCACTGAGGGCTTCACTAAATGATCTCCGCCCAGTTTAAACTATTCCATCTACTTCTCCCAATCCATATCTCCCTCTTTGCTTTAGCACTGTGACCTGACACAACTTTTATATTTGTTTACTGTCTGAGTGTATTCACTAGCATACAAAGTCCAGGGGTATGCATTTTTGTCTTACTTTGTTTTGAGTGCTCACTGAGTGATCATTTTGTTTTGTCTTGTTTTGTAGACAAAATAGCACTCAGTGGGCACTCAAAAACTATTATGTGAACGAATAAATGAATTAACCCCTTAACATTATTCACTGAGCAATTACTATGTGCCAGCTACTGTGCAAGATAAAGGTAATTTAGAGTGAATAAAGAGGTAACCAGACAATTATGATTATTGTTGGTAAATTCTATGAAAACTTCATAGGGGTGCTTTGAACAATGAAAGAGGAGCACCTACCACAAGGGCGAGGGCACTGAGCTCTGATTTTGGAATGGGTGCAGGAGAGGACCAGGGAGAAGAAAGCCCCTTATAGGAACAGACAGAGGTGCAGAAATGTGGAAGCCTGGCTTATGCGGAAAACTACAACTACTGCCAAAGCCCAGACTCTTATAAAAGGCTGTGAAAAGCCACTGAATGATATTTAAGTAAGGGAAAGGTTTGAACCCATTGGCCTTTAAGCAAGCTCAGGCAGGCAGCAGTGTGCAGAAAGCACTGGAGGAGACTGAAAGCAGGGTGGTCATTAGGTGAACATTATATTAGCTGAGGGAGAGAAGGGAGGGTTTAACAGGAAGGTAGCAATGTGGCTGAAGAAGAGGGCTGGATCATAGAGATATTCTTAAGTGTCTGATGGACTGAAGTAGGAGGAGTAAAACTTGACTCTGAGGCCTGAGTAACATGGTTCTGGTAAAGACAGTCACCAAACATGGGGTCTATCATGTTTCTTTAACTTACTTTCTCACCATATTCTGAATATTGTACATAAATCTTTAGATATGGAATCTAGGAAGAGAGAGGGAAAAAAATTGGAAAGAAAATCAAGTAACTCTATAATTTCTTACTGTGTTTATAAGTTTTTATCTGAACTTTATTTTGCATAACTTCCCATGGTGTTTGCTGAAAGATTATTAAAACTGCTGTAAAGGTTTACCTGCAGATTAATGATGTAACTCTATGCTTAGAATTTTTCAGTGACTCCTTGAGTTTTTATTTTTTTGATAGTTATATTCATGATGCAAAATTCTTTAATGAAAAGTTTTTATATTTTATATCACCCGGAACCTGTATTTAAATTTAATGTGTTTTAAGGTTTCAATTATAGTTGACATTTCTGGAGTTTAAAGAAATATAGCTTAATATGTTGATATTCTGTATGTCAATTTTTAATCTTAAGATGTATGCAAAGAAATTATTTTGAAAAATAAAAGTAGATTATTTTCATCTTAACTGGTTATATACAAAGTATATGCAAATATAAATAAGGAAAGACCACTTCATCAATTAATAAAGGGGAACCATAAAGATTATGACTCTAGGTTGGAAATCTGCTTGATCCGAACTTATTAAATTATGAGGATAACAATAATGGCATTGTTTTAGAAATCTCAAATACTAGAAAAAATGATTTTAATTTTGGTAATAATAAGCATTTTTTTGACTAGTGAATAATGAATTTATGGCATTATTCATCCAAGTTGTTGAGCAGGATGAAAATATAAACAAGTATAAGAAAGATTAGATAGGCTAGGAGTAGTAGCTCACACTTGTAATCCCAACACTTTGGGAGTCCAAGCTGAGAGGATTGCTTGAGGCCAGGAGTTCGAGACCAGCTTGGGCAACATAGCAAGGCCCTGTCTCCACAAAATATTAAAAACTTAGCCAGGCATGGTGACATGTGCTTGTAGTGCCAGCTGCTTGGAAGGCTGAGGCAGGACTGCTTGAGCCCAGGATTTTGAGGCTACAGTGAGCTATGATCACACCGCTGCACTCCAGCCTGGACAACAGAGTGAGACCCTGTCTCAAAAGAAAAAAACAAAAATTAAAAAAAATTGATAAATTCATGAATGTTTCTATGGAATTTTCAAATTACTTTATAAACTAACATTTGTACCAGAAACCACAGGACTAATCAAATGTAGTCATCTTAACCAACTGGTAACAACATACCCTAATTTCAAAATCACTTTTTGAGTAGGGAAACTTTGATTTGTAAGCTTAAATTTAATTGCCACAATGTTACAGATACATAATGGTATTATTAATCTAAGGATACTCGAAACAAATGCATATCAGCAAAATATTGCTGAGTAAAAATAACTGGTATATCTGGATGTGTGCACGCATATGCCATGTGTGTGTGTGTATGTGTGTGTGTTTGTGTCTGTCTTTACTTACTCAAGTGTTCTATATTTTATTCTGCCCTACTCCCAGGTCCCCCCACTAGTAATGGATGACACTCTTGTTAGATCCCTACCGTTTTTCCTGCCAGAGAGATCAAAGAAGTATATGCACATTTTTGGTAACTGTGAATATATTCTTGCCAGCATAGTTTTGAAAGCTCTATAAGACATATATTTCCAATTCAAAATAACATTAAATCTTAAAGAAACTGCTTTTATTTTTAGAGGTTACCAGAAGTAGCAGTAGTTTCTTAACAGTGAAGGAAACTGTTTATGGTCTTTGTAGCCATCCTTAGCTTTTCATTAAATAATGTGTTAAAATAGGCAACTTAATTAATTTTGTGAATTTCAGAGTTGATTTGTCTTTCTAAATCTCTGATTTTATGTGATTATGCAGCGGAGACCAAATTTTAAAATATCAGATATGTTATTCTCTAGTTAAAATATTTGATGTTGAATTTACTCTTATTTTCGTTTAAAATATTCCCTTCCAGGGTTATATATCAATGTAACGAAATAGACAATCTTAGGGAAACAAGCCTTTGTGAATTGAGCATACACATTCTCAGTCTAAATACTGAATTAATGTACTCCTTGTTCTACGATTTCCCAACATCAATATTTTAAGAAGTAAAGTACTCTAGAGACACTGGAGAAAATGGAATCCTAGACGATGATAAAACCCAAGTCTTTTCTTCGTTCTCAGATCACCTATCACCACAACCTCCAAATTCTGCCCTTACTTAGCATGAACAGTTTGCTTCCCAAACAATTTACCCAAGTGAGGAAATGATTAAATATGTTTATATGCTAAGGGGAAGAACTAGTGAAGAAGTGGAGCCTCTGATACAGATGCAGGAGTAACTGATTGCAAAAGATCCCTGAGGACAGAGACAAGGATGGATTCCAGAGTACACCAGATGACTTTGCCTTGTGTAGGAGGAGGGGCTCTTCTTCCTCTGATACAGGAAAGAGGTACATGTAGATTTGGTTTGATGAGGGACAAGATGTCGAGGGAATTTACACCTGATAGTCTCTATTTTCTCTGCAAAATCTTAAACAGGGAGAATTTTAAATACAGGGAGTGAAATAAGTAGGGAGAATGACCACACAGATCAACCAATGTAACAAACTCATTAAACAGTTGGTTATTTGTGTACATTAAATAGAAATATATAAAGGCAATATTGCACAGTGTGCTTTCAATAACCTAAAGCTGATTATATGAGGAAATTGTTAGTCCTTCCTGTGAGGATTACAAAATAACATGGGGAGCAGATTCTGTGAATCTTCCTAAACATTATATATTTTTAATAAAAAGGATGCATGACCGGATCTTCTTCTAACGACCACCCTAGTGTTTTATTTAGTGTTACAGAGTGCGAATGCAACATGCTGATTAACTGAAATGTCACACACTGAAAATAAGCTGGTCATTAGTTAAATGTCGTGGAATAAAGAACTTTTAACATGAAATGACGAGTGTCTATAACTTTGCTAAAACATAGTAAAATATATTTTTGAAAGAACTGGAAGAAAGTGCTATAGTTATATTTAAAAAGATATACAAATAGTGAGAAATAAGGCTATATCTCTTTGAGTTATTTTCCACTGTCTCAAAGCCTTGCCTTGCTCTAAATAAAGTTGGAAGAATCCCAACACTGACTTTGCCGTTGAAAAACTGCTAAATCTCAAAACTGCTACATTTCCATGCTGCGTAAATAATATTCTCGTTTATCTCACTAAATCTCTTCCATCCTGTATCTTAGTCTAAGAAACAACTGACAGCCTCTTTCATTCCCCTTTCTAGTATATACGCGGTATCACAGTTGACATTGGCCTCCCCTAGTTTGTAAACAAGTTATTGTGCAGGTTAGTTGACCGTATTTCCTAAGAGGAAAAATAGAAAAAACAACAACAAAAACAAAAAAAACATGTTTCTTTGTAATGCTATTGAATTATTTCCTTTACAAATCTGCTCACTGAAGATTTGCAGGTGCAGAAGTCATCTAACGTGTCCATTTGCTGAGGAACTCCATTGCATTTTAACTGCTTCTAGGGACTCTATCTTCAGTCTACTAAATGAGATTGATGTGATACATTTATAGGTATTTTTTTAAAAAACATATGTGCTGAAACAGCAAAGATTATTTTTTAATAAAGAGGAAAAATCAGAATCTTGCTGCATATGCTTAATGATCTTCAAAAGGAAACTAGAAGAAAAGATCTATTTTGCACTTCCAACTGAATTTTTTTTTTCCTGATGTAGGAAATGTCAGCATATTTCAGTACAACAAAGAAAATCTTAAGAGAATAGCACAGCTTAAACTGGTAATCTAAGCTTAAGTGGCCACAGTATTATGTTAATTGATTTGTTTTTCTTTTTTAGGGTCCTCTAGGGCCTCCAGGACAAAAGGTAAAGTATAAACAATACTGTGAAAGTAATTGTGCTCGCATGACCTAATGGCAAGCAAGAGAGGTGAATGAAATTAGCTACTGTAAGCAGTTAGTCTGGTTTGTGCATTCTGCTTTCTAAAAATATGGTCATAGAATGTGAGCATTAGATTTCTGATTGACTCTATTATAAAAAAAAAAATCAATAAATCCAGAGCAGACTCTTGTTGTCTACTGAACTTGCACATTATTGAATTTTTAATTCACATACTGGTAAAACATTGCAACAAAATTTAAAATGTGAAAGATTATTTCACATTGCAAAATGAATGCATGGCCTTCCTCAATTATATGATTGCCAAATGGCCAGAGAACTGACCAGAAAAAAGGATACTGCTGAGTTCACTATATTCAAATGGCCAACTGGTGTCCTTCTTTGATGAAGTAACCTGAAAAGGCTGAGACAGGAGAATCGCTTGAACCCGGGAGCGGAGCCTGCAGTGAGCCGAGGTTGCGCCACTGTATTCCAGCCTGGGTGAGACAGAGCAAGACTCCGTCTCAAAAAATAAAAATAAAAATAAATTCAGATGGAGAAGATCTAGGGTTTCCAAAATTACACCTATCTTACAGCAGTAAATATATTAATAGCAAATAGATGGCATTTTGCCAACAGAATATCACTAAGTCCCCATTCCTCCGTCCTTACACCCCTTTAAGTGGGGAGGGGGATATTTAACCTGTGGAAAACTAAAGAAAACAATTGTATTATAACAGGTGGAAAAGTGATTATTCTTTATCTTTGGAATCCATCAAGATAGAGACTTTTTATCCCCCAAGCACTGGGCATGTGGCATCTGTTGAAACATAATCCTACAAACCAAGTAAAAGCCCATGGGGTTGCGAGACAACTTGTGTGTAGGAACACTTTGTCCTTCGCAATAATGTCTCTATTAAGCATGGTGTGAAATTGTAAAGCTACTCTAATCCACATACGACCAGGATAAAATTACTGCTTCAGACTTCGGGAAGTCCTTTAATGAACCGTTCAATATAATCACTGAATGCGCCAAGGAACTTGCCATTTCAATTTGTTTTGATTATAATTACTGTTTTTCTAGGAGACTCTTTTTTTTAGGGGAGTTTTTGGTCTATAATTACTATTTTTTAAAAAATGCTTTTCTCCATTGTTATTAAAGAGATGTAATAGCATACATCTACTAAGAAAAATCTGTTTTCTAGTTTTAGACAAAGAATAAGCACATTGTATTTAAAATGGTTTCTCCAGAGCCTGAATGGAGGGTATAATGGAGGGAAATGACATCAGTGTTTGAAAATATTTGCTAATGTTTCTGTCTCCAGTTAAATGTCATAGATTTTCTCAGGTAATAATTAGCTTTCCTATTCTCCAGCTCACCCATCTATGCCCAGTCATTTATACTTAGGCACCAGTATGCACATGTGCCTGCACGCACACACGCCCACATGTGTTCACACACACCCAACTTTTTTTGTACAGAAGTTGTGTTGTTCCTGGTCAGTGTATAACATTTATTACACCTTTTTTAGCCACTCTGGAAGACACATTCACATTCATGTGGCTTAAACTTGCTCCTTGAACGTCTGGGTGGAAAATACTTAAAATATAACAAATTTGTGTTTATGACACAGGCCCCTTATTTAACTGTGGAACAAGTGGTTGTTCTTTTAATTACCTTTTGTTTTATGGTATTTTAACTCATGAAATGCAAATGTTACTGATACCAGTAGGATTTTTCCAGATGGAACTATACTATTTATTCTTAAAAACATCAAAATTTAGAGTCATGTGGCCCTCTGCTAGGTATGATCAATTTGTCATATAAATTTCTCTAAAATCATATTAAAGTTAAGTGGGTACTTAGAAGCAAGGTTTAGTTTTAACTTTGTTGCTTCTGGGTAAGGCTGAGGAATCTGCTTACATTATGTATTTGAACACTATGGGTACGTTCTGAAAAATAAAACTTCCTAGAAATGTTTTAGCAAGGCTTATATAATTCATACAATATAAACTTAGAATATTTTGTGTATGATAGCAACTCAATTTAAACATGTGTCTCTTCAGGGTTCTATTGGAGCACCTGGAATTCCAGGGATGAATGGGCAAAAGGTGAGTTCTATAGAATATGATATTTTAAAAATAATTTGGTGAGCATTTGAAATCACAAAATTATTCTAGTCCATAATGTTAGTAGTAAGCTTATATGCTTATAAAAACACTATGTGTACTTTTGAAAGACAGGAAAATTCTGGTACAAATGATCAAATTAGTTTAATTTTTAAAGATGCATTCAGTAGTCAGGAATTCTTTGGAAATTTTCCATTTCAACTATTTTGGATTGTTACTTTTCAATAAATTATGTATGTGATACAACTATATCTTTCTCATAAATATAGATGGAATTGGAAAAATTTATGTTTAACATTGATTGTGATAAAAAAAATACAGTCTAGTTTATTCTGGCCATTATAAAAGTAATATGTATTAATAATTGACTAACAAAAGTTATTCTCATAGAAGGAAACTAGTCAAACTTTCTGAATCCAGAAGGAAGCTCTTTTCCTGTTAAGCAAATGTAGATGTTAAATAGATTTGTCCTGCTTTGGTATCACATCCACTTTTATTGTACTGTTAATAATAATGAGGGAGAAAAATGCAGTGAAAGAAATGACAACACACTGTATATACACATATCTATATGTTGTGTGTATTTACAGCTGCGACATAATTACTAGTTGGACAAAGCATAGCTTCTCAACATCCCTGACTGGCTGTTCAGTCTGGAACCTTCACAGAAACCAGGAAAGCCAAGTAGGCAGCCAACAAAGCCCATTACTGAGCCAGTCTGTCAGGAGCCAGGGAGCTGAGCGAGGGACTGTCCTGTCTCTCTCAGAGTTCTTGGGCTGGCCCTTTTATACCCAGAGACCCATTATCTTGCCTTCCCAGAGTATTTTAAATCCATGCACCCTGGACCAAATTCTGAAATTATACGTAACTCAACTCTTTCAGAAATAAATCTCCTTGTGACCTTTTCCATCACGTCTATCTTTTCTTTCTATTAGTAAAACAAGCAACCACAATTTTATACCTTGTAAGTTGCTAAGAGCATAAGTCTACTGCTCAGAGGCTGTGTGAATTTTGGCAAGGTCCTTGGAATTCTCTGGCCTCAGTTTCTCATCTGTAAGGGGAGACAATGGCAGTGCCTACCTAATAGAGTCCATGAGAATTAAGAGAGTAAATAGATGTAAAGCCCTTAGTATTTGATATTACTGTTAAATTTTTCCTTCACTTCAGTTTAGTGAAATTCCGAAAGTTCAGTTAATCTGTGTTTTTAAGAGGCTCTGTGTTTCAAGAAGTACTCAATTTCCACATGAAACTAATGTGCTCAGCCAAGGCTTATGATGTCCTCTAGTCCATAAACTAAACACCACACACTCACCAATAGTTAACCGCCCATGCCGCAGCTACATTTTCCACTCAGTAAAATGCATATCCATTTGCTTCACAGATCCTGGCAAAGATAGAAGATAAACTTTCTGTTTAGAATATTGCAGATTATGGAGGGAAACCTAAGCAAAAATTTAAAAGTGTATTCATTCTCAGATGGATTTGAAAATTATATAACTCAAGATAGCATTTAGAAAGAACAAAATATAGATATGCCCTAACTGCTGTTTTCGACATTGGTGAAAAACAAAACTTGTATGCCTAAGATTAATGATGTCTTCCTTTTTCGTCTTTCTTTTCATTTTTCAACTTTGAGACAATCATGAAAATTTATAGAAACCTTTAACATGAAACCAAACAACTTTAAAGCTGTCACATACACTCCTTTGAAGACTATATATTCTTTATTTTTGCAAAGGAAATATGCAATTTCCTTAGCAAGAGAAAGGAATGTGACATTTCCTTGTCCTAGTCACCAAGTTTAAATTATATTTCAAGGAAATAGACAGTTAATATTTGCAGTTTTATGTCTTGTTATACATCTTAGTGGCATTTTAAAAGTGTTTTCTGTAGAACCCAGGGAAATGAAATGATTTCACACTTTTATGAAGGTATCAGCAAAATGTAATTTAAATTTGTTTTCCTTCCTTTAGAGAACTAAACCTAAAAGTTTGTTTATGGAACTTTCTGTTAGGCCTATCATTATTTAACATTTGTAATATTTGCTATATCATTTTTAGGAAAATAAAGTATAAAAAACACAAGTCTCCTTCACTGAAACAGCAGGTCTCGTAGACAGTAAAAACACAGCTGGCAATAGAGTAATAATTACATACTTAGAGCATATGAAATGAACTCTAGAATTTGTGTTTAAACAAATTTCTTGAGCTCTAGACTTCATTTTTCTGGAGTCTTGAACTCTAGAATTTGTTTTTCCAAGAAAGGAGCTTACAATGACATATTTTTTTTTTTTTTGTAAAAGCATCTCAATATTCTTAAATTGTCTTGAGAAAACATTTTCTTCTCCATTACAATTTTGCTTTTTCCAGAAAAGTACTTTTGATACTTAGAAAAGTTTTCAGACAGTGGTTAGGGGACGATATAATTAAGCCATCAGAAATATGGCAAATAATATCCAGCTACTTGGGAAGCTGAAGCAGGAGGATTGCTTGAGCCCAGGAGTTTGAGTCCAACCTGGGCACCATAGTGACAGCTTATCGCTTAAAAAGAAAAAAGTAAGAAATATGGCAAATAAAAACTAGGAAATAAAAAATTCTTATGTTTGAAAAAAGAAATAAAAGTATATTATTTTAAGAAAATACTAGCTAGGTGATGTGGCCCAAGCCTGTAATCCCAGCATTTTTAGAGGTTGAGGCAGGAGGCTCACCTAAGCTCAGGAGCTAAAGAAAAACCTGGGCAACATGGTGAAACCCTATCTCCGAAAAAGAGAAAGAGAAAGAGAAAGAGAGAAAGAGAAAGGGGAGGGAGGGAGGGAGGGAAGGGGAGGACGAAAATGCTTTTTTTTCCCCCAGAGAACATTTCCATGCATTCAAATTGGCAAAATGGGTGATAGCCTTAGCACATAAACTTGGTGGTGATGTTTTTCCTACACATTATGTTTTACATTTTGATCACCCTTGATTGCTAATCTGAATAGTTATTTTTGTAATGGTCTTTCAGTTCTTCTGTTTGTGTTAGAAAAAAAGACTTCATAAGCAGTGGCATGGCATTAGGCTCCAATCTTGCCCCTTCTGGCATCACAATTGATCAAGGGCTACAGAGCATCCTTCTATGAAAAGTATGAGGCAGTGTGATACAGAGAAAAGGGCGTAGTCTCTATATCTGAGAGAGAATGCTGTGTGTCCTCATTTGGGCAAATCACTTAACCTTTCTAAAGTTTCTAGTGTACAGTATAGAGACAGTCCTTGCAGTATTAATTAGACAATATATCTAAAGTGAATATTATATAATAGATGCCCAATAAATGTTGTCAAATATCTCTAGTAGTATTTTCATGCCTTAAGACTTTCAGCAGGCTGGGCACAGTGGCTCATGCTTGCAATCCCAATACTTTGGGAGGCCAAGGTGGAAGGATCTCTTGAGCCCAAGAGTTCAATGTTACAGTGAGCCACGATCGTGCCACTGCACTCCAGCATGGGTGACATAGTGAGACCCTATCTCAAAAGAAAAAAGTAGTTTCAGCAAATGAGCCCTAGACTTACATTTAAGCAGGGAGCAAAAGCCAGTTGAATTCCTCATAGAGAGAAAATGAATACGCAAAATTATTCATAGAGGTAGAATGTGTTCTCTGTCCCCTGCTGTCTCCCTGACTGTGAGGACTAAGGGCCCCAGTCGATAAGGAGTGGGTAGTTGGAATGATGGTGCTATAGATACAAGAAAGAGAAAGACACGTTTCACATTATTATGAAAGCACAGTCACCAGTGGGCTGATGTAGGAGCCTTGTCCTGGCATCAGAACACTCTGTGCTCTTTAACCTGTTGTGTAGCCTTTGAAGGATCCCTTTTATCTCTGGGTTCAAAGGGGCTTCCTTTGTTAAATGAGAGAAGAAGCTGTACCAATTTATCTCTAAGTTTCTCAGAGATGCTATGAGTACCCATGTCTTGTTTCCAATTCAACCAGATTTTAGCATCCTCTGTTCCCAGTTCTGAAAGCTGATGGTTTCATAATTTGGACTTGTTTCCACCAACCAAGCAGTTATGGCAGATTTAATGCAAATCCTACCTAAAAATATGACTGTAATCTATTTCTTCTTTGGCTAATTATATTGAACACAAAAATAATCTTGTAATTCTCATGAAGATCTTCTTGGTTTAAACATATAATTAACATTTTATTTGTCCTCCATAATTAATTCTTTCCCCCATCATGCACACACACACATACATAAAGTGATGTATATTTGAATATTTGCCAATTCATTCCTACTTCAAATACTCTGGAGAAATAGAGCTATTTAACATAATTTTGTGGTAGGACCATGTTTTTAAACTGAAGAATTGTTTGGCAAAATAGATTGCTGCCTACAATTTTTGTTTATATACTTATATGTCAGTTTTTAAAAATCTGACCTGTTAAAAAGTGTTATTAAAGTTCTGTATTTTTTCACTTTTTCCTGATGTTCATCTTTATTGGCATCCATAAGAACAAATAATCATAATGACAATTTATTTGGATAGCAATTAGTGCCCAACACTGAAAATGCCATGAAAGAGGAGGTGGAGACGGTAGAGTCCATACGAAGTCCCATTTATGCTGCTCTTAGTTTACATCCTTACTATAAAAATAATGAAGATTTTTAGGATTAGAATAAAATTATTTATTTCTGTGCAAGCTAGAATTTTTCTGAGGCCGGCAGAGTCATAGGTGTTGTTTCCTGAAACAAAAGATAAATATCAGATGATCTTGAGTCATGCAATTTTAAGTCCTTTCTAGAATTCATTATTATTTTTAAAACTTCAACTATAACATAAATTAAAAGTTGTTATTAGTGTGTCACCCATGAATCCATCACAAATAGCTATGTGATTTTTAAGTAACATTAAATTTTAAATAGTTTTTGGTTATGACATTTGAGATTCCTTTTAATCTCTTATACATGGGTCACACAGTTCTTCACTGACATTAATCTTCATGGCATACT